TCAAAGAGTCTAGTTCGAAGGAAATAACTTCGATACATTCGCGACGCGTGGGAACGAAGCCTAAATACTGAGAGTGTTACTTAGTTTCAACTTATTTTTATAGCGATCGTCAGGCCCTGAAAATGGCAAAACGAATAAAAGTTTCTACATATTTGAAAAATGCAACCAGCATACCTCTGGAATGTTCAGATGTAGAAAGTGATGAATTATATGATAGTGACGGCGAATTATTGGAGAGACAATCTGATCCGCAAGGCAGTGACGATACAATGCTATTATCGAGAGTAGTGATGAGGAAATTTCTGATAAAGACAATATAGATCAGTCAAGCGACAGTGATTGCGAAAATATTCCAAACAAACGTACGAGACGATGCATGAGATTCCCTTCCAGTTCTGAAGACGAAGGTGGAAGTAACGTACCAAATCAGCAAACTGAAATTACTTCAGACGGAACTATTTGGAAAAGAATTGAAGAAGGAGGTACTGCTGGTAGATTACCAGTTCAGAGTGTTTTCAAAGATATACACGGACCAACAGCACATGCTGAAAGAAACATTACGAAGGGGAATCTAAGTAGTGCATTCCTATTACTGATTGACAACCATATTTTGGAACATGTACGAATTTGTACAGAGTTAGAAACCTCTCGAGTTTTGGGGAAAAACTGGACAATTACGCAAGCAAAATTGAAGGCGTTTCTTGCAATATTGTACGCACGAGGGGCGTACGAAGGAAATACTTTGAGGCTTCAATATTTGTGAAACAATAAGTGGGGACTATCATTTTTCTGCAGCACTATGAGTAGACGCGATTTTACCCAGATTCTGCGATACATTCGCTTCGACAAAAGAAATCAGAGGAGTCAACGTTTGCAAACAGACAAATTCGCTTTAGTCTCGGCAGTTTGAGAAAAATTTATTGAGAACAGTCAAAACTGCTTCAAACCGGGAGCTTATATTACCGTAGATGAGCAACTCTTTCCAACGAAGGCCAGATGTAGATTTACTCAGTATATGCCAAACATACCTCATAAATTTGGCATAAAATTTTGGCTGGCGTCTGATGTACAGTCGAAATATGTGGTAAATGGCTTTCCGTATTTAGGAAAAGACGAGACTCGAAATGCATCAACCCCTCTAAGCGAATTTGTCGTAATGAAACTTCTTGAACCGTATACCATGAAGGGTAGAACTGTAACAACCGATAATTTGTTTACAAGTATTCCTTTGGCGTTAAAATTAAGATCTAAAAATACTTCGTTGCTTGGAAAAATACGCGCAAACAAGAGGGAACTGCCGAAAACTTGCAAACTGAAAGAAGACAGCATGGCTCGTTTCTCAACGTTGTTGTACCAATCCAATGAATGCACACTTACCGTTTACAAGAGCAAACCGAATAAAAAAGTACTCATACTAAGTACAAAACATAAACACGTAAAAATTGATAAAACTGCTAAGAAATTACCTGAAACTGTATCGTTTTATAACAGAACTAAATTTGGCGTCAATGTTACTGATCAAATGGCACGAAAATATACCGTGAAATCAGGTTCCAGAAGGTGGCCACTTCAAGAGTTTTTCAACATTTTGGATTTAGCCGGACTAAATTGCTGGATATCGCACAAAAATACAACAGGAGAAAATATCTCACGGAAAGATTTTCTGTTTCGATCAGCAGAAGAACTTGCTTCAGAATATCAGACTTCAAGGCAAAAACCACACGAAGCTGATATACCAACTACAAGTGGCACGGTTCCAGAACGCAGATGGTGTAAAACAGGATATTGCAATAACAATAAGACTACAAATATTTGCAATACATGCAAAAACGTGTATGCGGAAAGTGCACACGCAGTAAAATCTACATATGTAGAAATTGTGACCGATAAACTGTAAACAATTAAGCGTTTTGTTATTTGACATTATCTATAAATCCACTTATCTATTACGATTAATACTGTTCAATTTGTTTTGTCACTTTTTAAGAGCGAATAAAGACTGGAAGCCTCAATAAGCATTTTTTCTTATACACCAGTCATTCTAACTGGTTTTGATAGAAATAGGTGTATGTAAATAGCTGGTATATCTAGTGTTAAATATCTCAATTTAAGTATAAATGGACTTAGGCCACTTTCAAACTAAACGGCTCATTTACATAGAGCAAGATCTCACAAGAGCGAAAAGAGAGATTCAACAAAGAATCAGAAGAGTCGCGATAGAAGAAAGGGAAAAGGACAAGGAAGTAAAGATAGGCTACCAAAAAGTAAGAATAGACGGGGAATGGATTGGCTGGGCAAAATGGGAGAAGGAGACGAGTGAAGAACATCAAAGTTTTTGTTAGTTAAGAGGACAGCGATGCTACAGTAGAAATGCAAATTCTGTTTTGGAACGTGGCTGGTTTCAGCGGAAAAGGTAAGGATCTATGGGAGTATGTGAGCGGTTTTGATTTCGTAGGGTTGGTGGAAACGTGGTGGGTGGAAGAGAGTTGGAGAAAGTTCAAAGATCGCTTGCGAAAGGCTTTTAGATGGAGACATCAGCACGTAAGGAGAGAGAGAGAAACAAAGGAAGGGCCAAAGGTGGCACGCTAATAGGAGTTAGAGAGGAATGGAAAGAGGAGAAGGAGACAGAGGAAGCAGAAGATATGATGGGCAGACGAGTTAGGGTTGACGGAGAAAAATGGAATATTTGGACAATATACAACAACGGAGAGATGTCGAAGAGGGCAAGGAGAATCAAAGGTGCAATAAAAGAAGAGGTAGAAAACAATCTAATCATAGGCGGAGATTTCAATGGAAGGACAGGGAAAGAAGACCATCTATATGCAGAAGAAGCTATGATGGAGGGAGGATGGGAATTTAGAGAAAGAAAGTCGAAGGACAGAGTGAAAAATACAGAAGGAGATTGTCTGCTAAGACTTATGGAAGAGAGAGGCTGGCATTTGGCCAATGGCAACCTTACGGGGGACGAGGAAGGAAAGTACACGTATGTAGGGCCTAGGGGGGCATCCGTGATAGACTATATTATCCTGAATACAGAGTATGGAAAAAGTAAGGAGGTTTGAAGTAGGAGACAGGATTGAATCTGACCACCAACCCTTATGCTGCTACATAAACGCGGATGAAAGTAGGAGGGCGGAGATGGTACCAAAGGAGGTGAAGACAGTAATCGAATGGGACGAAGAAGAAAATTTTCGAATAAGAATGGAGAGCCGAGAACGAGAAAGATGGTGATACGGAATGTAACAGGGATGACTAGAATTAACGAAACCATGGAGGTAGTTAATGGATGCGATATAGTGGTACTCCAAGAGACATGGATCGAGGAAAAAGCAATCCAGAGTTATGTAGCCAAATTATTGTAGATGAGCAGTTCCACTAGACGGCGAAAGCAGCTGTAAGAACAAAAAACAAAGGCAGGGTAAGCGGGGGCCAACTTCTGGGAATAAGAAAAAGTATGAGCTGGGAATTAATAAAGGAGTGGGACTGTGGGTTGGCAGCCAGAGGTACCTTTAGCGGGAGAGAAAGTAACACTGATAACGGTCTATAACGATAAGGGTATTGGAAAATTAAAGAACGGGTTAGAAGCCTTAATCGAAGAAGTGGAGAAAAACCAGGAACGAATACTATTAGTCGGGGACTGGAACGCAAGGATCGGAAAGGAACAAGGAAGAGTGGACAGACAGGAAGATGATGAACGGACAAGAAGTTCAGAAGATGGAATCTTGAATCCAGAGGGAAAGAAATTACTGGAAATATTCCAGGAAATGGGCTGAACAATTTTGAATGGAAGAATCAAAGGAGACGAAGAAGGAAAAGTAACGTATATTGGAGCCAAAACAAGTTCGGTACTGGATTACGCAATATAATCAAGGAAGAAGACAACATCTTGATCGATCACATGGAAGTCGTACCAAGAACGGAATCTGACCATCTTCCGATTGTTATACTGGAAGACCACCGAAACTGAACGAAATAACGAAGAGAGAAAAGTTAAAGAAGAAACAAGCGAACCAAACTATCTTTGGAGAGAAAAAAAGGCGGAAGAGTACCAGAGAATACTGAGTGAATTATAGAAAATGGAATGGAATAACTTAAAACCGGGAGAAAGAGTGAAGAAACTCGATAAAATAATTGAA